AGTGTTTCTATCCATCAGAGACCAAGTAAGCTGATACTTCGTTTCAAAATAAACCTGAAAAGAAGCTAGGAGATGCATAAACTCCATTTCTGGAGTGTGACGTGGTAGAAGCAGTTTCCCCAGTGTTGAGTAGAAAATGAGAAGTTTCTTCATAATTTTAAAAGCAAAACAACAATATTTATGATGATGATATTTAGACAACTACCAGGGTAATTATTGGTCACTGATCCATGTTCATTTAAATTTTTAAGTTGAATATTCTGAAAACATGAAATTCTAGTTATCTCTTGTTGACATATAGGTTAAGCGTCTAGTTTGCCTCATTATTTCACTTATTTTTATTCAGCAAATACACATTAAGAACCTCTTACATCATCTTCTCTGTTTTACCCAATGGCAGTACAATTATCAACAATAAAGACAAAGGTAACTATCTGTACTCTTAAAACTTGCATTCTAGTGGAATGAGGAAACAGGCAAGAAATGGCATAACATTCAAAGTTGATAAGTGCTATAAGAAATATAAGAGAATTTCAGGTGGTAGTAAGGATGTCAAAGTTTCATGTAGCCAGGGAAAACTTGCATTTGGGTAAAGATCTGAAGGTTTGAGAAGTGAGCCAGATACCTGTCTGGTGGAAAACTGTTCCAGGGAGAGAGCACTGCAAATACAAAGACACTGACATGGGTACAGAGATGGTAGTATAGATGGATACAATCATGTAAACAGGGAAAAGAATAATCAGAGCCCAAGGTCAGAAATGGAACTGGGGCACCACAGACCTTATAGCTACTGCAAGGGCATGGCCTTTTCTCCATGGAAAGTAGGAAGGTATTATGAGGCTCTGACTGGAGAAGAGGCATAAATAGACAAGATCATCCTGGCTGCTGTCTTGAATATTCCTCTACAGAAGGACAGAAGCCCATGTAGAAATAAGACTGTTGATGGAGTAATACATTAGAAAGATTTTGGTAGCTGGGACAGAGTGGTGATGGTAGAAGTGTTGAAAAGTGGTAAAAATGAAGTTATTTTTTGAGAAATCAAATGTGTGTGGGGTGTTTGAGAGAGGCATAGGGTGGGAGAGTGAAGACAGAGGGACAGAGAAAGGGAGAGATGAAGTTATTACAAAGTTCTTTGGTTTGAGCACCTTGGAAGGATGCATTGCTGTTAATTGGGATGTAAAGGACTGTGGAAAGAGGTTAAGAAGATCAGCTGTTCAGTTCTCCACAGGTTAGGCAACATGAGCCTGGACTTTAGGAAGAAGGTCTAGGATCAGTGGTGGCACATCTACAGCATGTTTGTATCACTGAAAACTTAAACGTTCACCATCACTAGTGTAAACTTAAAGTTTTAATTTATCAGTGTGTAGTTCTATCTAAGACATGAGACAGATGACATCCCTAACCAAACTGTGACATAGGCTCATTAGCATTTTTAGGGACCAAACCTAGGAGATGAACAAGAATAAGCAAAAGAAAGCTTTAATTGAGGCCTTAGAGTTAAAGGGAAACCCAGGGAGTGCAGTGCCCTGGAAGGGAAGTGAAGAAAGTACTTTGGTCAGGAATCAATCAGTGCTCAGCTATGTCCTAAATTCACAGTAGAGAAGGCCTTGGCTTTACTGTTGTAGAGATTGTTTTGACCTTGATAATTATAGTGGTCACAGCATTAGTAGAGCTGCTTCTATAAAGAATGGGACATTGGAAGCGAGGCTGGCAATTGCTGTGTAGATAGTGCCTTCAAAGTTTGTCTTAGAGGGGAAGGAATAAGTGGGTTGGTATGTTTAGGGTAAGTGAATCCTGAGAAAATTTGTGTTTAGGTTGGATGGAAGAACTGACCTAACTGTGTGTAGTTGGAGATTACATCCTAAGTGCTGACAGAGATCTGAGGATAAAGGACTTTTGATTAGAAGTAAGACCATGTTATTATTTTGTCTTATGAGATTATTGGAAATTCTAAGACTGTTCTGGGTGACATGACAACACTGGCATCTTAGAAGGAGAATATAAGACATGCTAGAAGATAGACCAAAGGCCAAGGAAGACCTCCAAATCACATACAGTCAGTTTGCATTTTGAATGAGGTATTGGTTACTACAGCCCTAAGATTTCTAGGCACCACAGAAGTTTAGGTGAAATCTTACCCCTGAAGTCATTAAAAGTTTCTTTTATGGCTGACTCATCTATGTGAGAAAGGTAACTCAATCAGTTTAAAGGCAGGGGTGAGGGCCATTTACATGCACTGTATGCTTTTGGAAACCAGTGTGCCTTCTGGTTGAGGGACTGGGATTGAGGTTTATGTTACTCACTGCGTCTCTAACAGTGTCTTTCCGAAACTCTATTCCCCAGTAATGTAGGTGTCCTTGTGAATCAAGGAATCTGGTAAACAATGACTTACAATGTATGACTTAAATAAATTATCAGTGTTAAAACAAGCATTAGTCTGTGTACATTATGGAAGTTGAGATACAGACCGAATGGAGAGTCTTTATTATCAGCCAGCACTTGTGGGCCACTGGGTTGTTTAGGCACCACAGATTCAGGAGCTGGTCTTCCTCTCCCCAAGAGTAGAGCTTTGATTTCATCCATTCCTTCAGTAAGGCTCTGCTGAGGTAATTCCTGTCCATCACAGGACTGGGAGACAGACTAAACACTAATTAACTAAAGATACTGTGATATTTGGGGAGCATCTGGGTCTTGCTATTACCTGTCAGAAGAGCCATGTACCGCTATATCAGCAAAATGCATATGATCTCCATCCATAAACTGCAAATATCCTACAATGTAGTCTTTCTTTTTACAGTTTAATTTTGAAAAAGAAAAAAAATTATACTAGTATGATCTAACATACCATGTTGGGGAAAAAAAAAAGGCCTGATTCTATTATTGTCAGACAACATTTAGTCGATACCTTAAGAAACGAAAGTCTCCAAAACATTGTATTTTACTATTTGATAAATAGGTATAATCTTGTTACTACATATACTATAAACTTGTATGGAAATAATGTATGAGAAGTGTTAAATTATCTTATGAAAAGGGATAGATAATACTTAATCTTGTAATATCTAATTTTAATCGTTTGTATTATATCTGACTGATACCCTACTTTTTTCTCTTTCCCAACAATTGAAGCACATTAATTATACTGAAAGTTAAGGATGTGGCAAGAAAGAAAAGAAATATATTACTCTTACACAAATTTGTTCATAATGCCAATATAATATGCTACAGCCTATTTGATTAGTATATTAAAATGAACATAACTGATATGTATTATAATTCACCAATATGCAAAATTTAAATCATAATTATGGCATAGAAATAGTGATGAAAACACTTCTATCTCTTTTTTGTCACATTTTAAATATTAATTTTATTTTTCTTTTCAAATTTTAATGTGTTAAACTCTTCATTATGACCACATGATTAGAAAGATATGGTTCTATGGATTATGTTTATACTAGAATAATCTTTCATTATTAATCAATTTAAGTCTTATCTCAAATCAATTCATCAGTGTTAGCAATTAAAGATAAAAAATGCATGTGCTCAATTTCAAGAATTAAAAATAATGCCTTGGGAGTAAGCATTTCTTTTCTGTGGTGAGAGGATTGTTGGGTTTTCCAATTAAAGAAGTCTCCATACTGGAAATGAGTAGTCAATTATGAAAATTATTTTTGAATAGCCAATTTACATATCCCTAATTGTATTCATTTCTTTTGAAAGACCGAAGTTGGAATTTATGATGTTTTGATTAGTTTCCCCAGCACTTGTGTTATTAATACTTTTGCCTACATGGTTCTCCTACGAATGGGGCTTTTAATGCCTTTTCTAAGTAAATGTTTGACTCATAAGTAGGTTTGTTTTATTTACTAAATGAAAAGTGTCTAAAGATTTACTAGAAGCTTTCAAATTCACACACTGTACTATTTGGATTGAGAGTAGCATCCCTGAGCTGCTGCCTGAGTCCACACTTGGACTTTTCTGTATCAGCTGCTGAGGAACATTTGAAGTTCACTATGGTGATACTCTCAGCCAGCCAAAAGTGCAGCCTCTGTCCTTGCTATCTGTGCAGTAGTGTCTGAGTGAGAGGTAGAACTATTTTAATATATTTTTCCTTTAATGAAAAATTGACTTAGAAAGAAAATTCTAAGTTTTTATATTGATGATGCACATAGCTCTCATATGAAACAACATTGAGATGGAGATGGGAATAATTAGGTTAAAAGTGCTGATGTTGGGCTGGGGATTTAGCTCAGTGGTTCTGCCGCCTGCCTCGAAAGTTGAAGGACCCGAGTTCGATCCCCAGTACTAAAGAAAGTGCTGATGTTGAATTTCCTTGGATTTAGGATTATTGGACTTCAACTGTTCAACATAGAGTAAGTCAAGAAAGAAAAGAATGAAATAAAGAGGCATGTACAAAAGTGAGATATCTATGTCTGTAAGACAAAAACAGACTATTTATAACAATACATTGTGTATGCACATGTGTAGATTTAGATACTGTCTAGGAGGATAGAGGTAATTAGAGATTTTGTAATGTGTTTTAGCTTTCTGAGTCTGAGATGTCCACTTTTACTGTTTCTGTTGTTCAGTGTGTACTGTCTGTACTAAGTCTGTTTTTCAACTTCTGCATATTTAACTTCCTATTTTCTTTAGGAATATTTTTGAAATAAAAAGAGTGAAATCTTTTAGGCAAACTGGCAAAACATGGTGAAATGAAGGGGCAGTCCTTGCATTCCTTGAAAAGAGCCGAAATCAGCTGTCTATTTTAGGAATAGACTAAATAAACAGAAGAACAAACCATTCATTATGTCCTAGCCATGGTGCTCAGAGACATAATATCATTGAAGAATTAAGAGTTCTAAGGTAGTAACAATAAAGTTTTAAGTTTGAAGAGGTTTATTCTCTAAAACCAAATAAAAATCATAATCAGTTAGATACAATGTCTCTATGATATACATGTCCTACAAAGTAATTAGTGTTGTTGGACTTGTTTGTAGCTGATTGCTGTGTTTGATGAACAAGAACCACTCCACAAGATTGAGAGCCCCAGTGGAAACCCGACAGATCGGCAGAGCCCAGATGCTTTGGAGACAGAAGTGGCTGCCCAACTGGCTGCATTTAAACCAATCGGTGGGGAAATTGAAGTAACCCCTTCTACTCTGAAATTAGGTATGTGCATTGTCAGCAGCATGCTTTTCCACCTGCGTGAAAGTACATCATCTTATTGGTTGTGTTTCTCCTTTATGACTTTTATCCTATTAATATTTATTATTTAAAAATTGTGTTTGCTGTGCTTTGTAAAAAATAGTTCTTTGCAGCTTCTGCAGCTCAGCTAAGTTTGTAGATAGAATGTTTTTTTCCCCTTGAACCAAAGGGGAATCTGAATTGCGCATCCTTGAAGTAACAGGGGAAAGTCAAGACTGTAAATTATGAGGTTCTCTGGTATCCTGTGAGGATCACTTTTTAAAAATTTCTACTATACATTTTGATCCTCATTTTTACTTTCAGTTTTTCATACCAGAGAAACTATTCAGTATTTACAGATGTGTGTCCTATTTATTTCACTTAAGAGTATGGCCTCAATGTGCATCCATTTAGCTATAAATGTCTCTAGTTTCTCATTCTTTATGTCTGAGTAGTACTCCATTTTATTAAAAAAACACATCTTCCTTATCCAGTCACCAGTCGATGGGCATTAAATGTACCAATAAATTTAATGGATAAAAAAATTAATTAAAATAAAAATTTAAAACGTATTTCTTGAAAAAAATCATTTAGAAAAAGCAAAGGGTTATCAAAGAACCCAGACTAGAAATAAAGGCCACTTTCTTCCTTAGCTATCCTTTTTTTCTTCCAATATATATCTCAGGCCTTAGAGAAAATATTTTGAAGTTAGTTTTGAAATTCTTTACTGCTGGTTTATTCAAACAAGAACAATTCACCTGGCAATTTTGCTCAGAATTCTTTTTCATAATATTTGTTTTGAAGGTGTTTGTAGAAAGAAAATAAACATTCTTCTAAAGTTTCAGTCAATTTACAATACCAAAAGCAATAACATATTTTGGTGATAACCTCCTAAAGTTTAGGTCAATTTAACAGCATGGAATTTTTTTAAAATCCAGTAATATTGTGGTACATAAAACAATTTTTATACCTGTCGAATGTGTATACAACATTCTGAGGCTGCTTAACACACCTATTACAGTTTAATTCTCAAGCCAGAAGGACAGGCTTTTCTCACTTTGCAAAGACAATTTTTTGGAGCAAAGTGTATGCTCAGAATTGTAAAAATTGTGCATAGTACTCACTTTCTCCATTTCAAATGAAATCTATACTATTAAGTTGATTTTACATATGACTACACCAAGTAATATTTTCTCCTGATTTTCTGAAAAGCATCTGAGGTCTTTCTTTTAAAACCAATCAAAGGAAAATTAATGACCTAAAGGCTTCATGGTTTTCCTCTGTATTTTGGAAATCAGGCTAGCAAAGCTGTCTATTGGAACATAGATGGTGGAGGGATGGGTGGCAGCTCTTCCTCCCAGCCAAGATTGTGGCTTCAGCAACCTCACAGCCACATTGCTTATTTGCATAATGGATGAAAAGGTACCCATTATGTAAATGGTATGAGAGGAAAACCAGTCAGTAAGGGAAGACCAAAGGAGAAAATTGTTCTTGCTTGTTTTTAATATTCTACTTATAAGCAAGTGCTGTGGGCTTCAAAAGGCTGAACCTCAGTGTATCCCTGTCCTGGGAACTTGTTTTCAACCTTTCTTTTATGAGTTTTCTCAGGAAAAAAAAATTTTGTTTTCCTTCAATGCTTTTACAGTTGGCTTTTTTTTTTTTCCTATTGGACCACCTGGGCAGCTATATTCATCGTAATCCTGAATACAAGCAAAAGGAAAGTAGGCTGATCTTTCCGTCCTTTGAAAGTGGACTTTCTACTCCTTCAGAACTGATTTTTTGGTTAGACAAGGATAGAAAATATTTATTAAATGGAGACTGCATGCCAGAGCCTGAGCTGAAGTTAGTCGACTGAGTAAAATAAATCCTTTATTCTTAATACCTCATTTCAGTCTCAAAATACTTGGTTAGGTTTTATTATTTTCTTCTATTTAAGAAATGGGGATTAAGCACCTAGAGGTTTACTAATTTATCTAAAATCATATGGTTGTTAGGTGGCAGAGCCAGGATTTGAACCTTACCAGAAAATCCAGGAAGCCTTTTACCATGCTGCCTCTGATATGCTTTTCATAAAACAATAAGTTAATATAACTTTCCTGGAGTTTATTTTGTGAATATATACCAAAACGGGTAAACTGAAAAGGGTAAACTCCTTGACTCCCAGATCCAATTTTACTTAGTAACATAAATTAAGTGATGTGATTAGCCAACATTCATGTTTGAGTGACAAAAGTTGCCTCCCACCCACTGAGTCTGGGACCTTGGCATCTTCTCCAGCTCCTCCTTTTTTTTCTGCGCTCTCACCTCTGTCCACTCTTTAGCTTCCCTGTCCACAGCTGCTGTGCCAGACCAGAATATTGTCATCAGTTAGATCACTGCACAGGCTTCAGGCTGACCTCTCATTCATAGCACCTTCCTTCTTCAGTCCCTGCTGTTGCCAGAGTGACCTTTCAGAAGCACAGATCTGATTATATAAGTCCCTGCTTAGAAAACTTCCAGTGGTTCCCCACTGCCCTAAGAACCACATCCAAACTCATTAGCCAGCTAATACAAATGATTGCTCTGAATCAGCTGGAGGAATTTGGACAGTGATGAATGATGGGAAAAAATTATCCCTTTCCTTACCTTCACGGTGTAGCAGATTGAGTACTTTCCATTTCTGGAATAATAAAGAAGGGAAATTTATATTTATCTGTTTTGTCAGGTGGAGACAGAGAAGTGAAAGAAGACAGCAACACAGGCATTTTTGATCTTTCTTATTCTCTTTTCCTCTTGATGTTCCCAGGTTAAGAAAGGGTCACAGGCAGGTAACTCAGGATGGAGAGATACAATTGGCAGGACATGCACTGTTTCTGGCTCCTCTGGAGTGTAACCCCATTGTGTTGTCTGGGCTGAGACCCCGCTTAGATGAAGAATTGGAAGATGCTGTCACAGGATGCATAGCCATCATCAGGACAAGATCCCCATAATGTGCCATCATCACAGAGATGCTGGCCTTTTCATTGTACTCACTCAGCTCCCAGAGGCCACCGGGTTTGTTTTGTTTCTGAAGGAGCTTTTTGCTAGGATAGCTCAGGAGAAGCAAGTCTCAATTATCACTGCTTTTCTCACTCTTAAGGCCTATCCAAGAAAATGTCAAAATTAGTCATTATTTGTTCTATGCTTTTCTTACTGAAGAGACACAATTAACAAATATTAGACATCAAGACATTTTTATGCTTAGGTCATTTTGTCATCAAAATATATCTATTTTATTGGTATCTGAGATCAAAATGTACTTAATGTTCAGTATAATTTTATACCTTCTTTTCCATCACAGGATAAGCATCAACAGAATCATGCTTCATGTGAAAGACTAACACTCTCCTCTTACTGTAGAATGGACACAGAGGTTGGCCCTCCTACCCAAGATGAAATCTTATGCACAGGATATGCATAAACTTCATACTTACCTGTCTTCATGATGTAGCTACTTCTTCTCGCCCTATCTGTATTGCTGCCCATTCCTCCACAGTCAGCCTGTAACCACTGTGAGCCACTTGCCATTTCCCAGAATGACTACTTTCTTTCGAATCTCTGTCCCTTTGTAGGTAATGTTCCCTTGACCTACATCCCTCCTTTGGCTCTTTTTTCCTCCTTGAATTTATGTGAACCTTTTAAGCCCATACTCAAAAACAAATCTTTTTGTAAAGCCTTGTTTAGATCTCTAAGGCAATGCCATAGTAAAAAAAGTGTGTGTGTATATATATTTATATATATGTATG